TTTAGAGACATGATGTCTGCCTCCCCTGGATTAATTTCCGGATCCTGCCAAAGCTTGTCCTTATCTCTTTCTTCTCACTGAGAATAAGAACCCTATAAAATTGTCTCTATCAGGGACCAAGAAATGAGCCAGGGCAGGGCAAACTTAAGAAGCGGGACCTGCATGTCTCCTCATTGAGATTCGGGAAGGGTCTGAGCACCACAGCTGTAGAGCTCTCATACCTCCATTCTGTCTAAAGAGAGCCATTCTCTCAGGGCAGTGGGTAGGGGCAGGTCACACTGCGGACACGAGTTACATAGTAGTACTTTAGCTCAAAAACCCCCGTATGCAGATCTTGTGCCGTGCTGTTTCTAAAGATCTAAGAACATCAACAGTAATGATGACAGCAGGAATATTTACAGTGTTTGCAAAGTGCTAACTCCTCATATTGTCTGATGGAAGCAGCCGCTATGAGGTTAATAACATTTTACCTTCATTTTCCTCATTGGCACACCATTGTTTAGGTGCATCACGCAAGTTAGCCACAGTCTGGTGGTTGGTAAGAAGAAAGGAAATCTCTGTGATGCCAGTAACAGTGTGTAATAATCATCCCAAAAACAAAAGCATGAGATACTGCAAGGAGTGCAAAATAATGATCAAATTTTTATCTTCACTATGAGTTTTGATGTGTACGTGTGTGAAACATTCATTAAGTGTCATGTGACCACACTTGGCCTGCATTATTTCACTTACTGTTAACTTCGGTCATGTGACATATGTATTTTTTTCATCACCACCATTTTACAAATGAGGAAAATCAAATCTTGCCAAGGGTTACCCAGCAAGAAAGTAGAAGAATTCAAATTTGAACCAAGGTAGGCAGGACTCTAAACCCATATCCTAAAAGCTACACTTTACAATTCGTTTTGTGGCCCAGATGTTTTGCAGGTTGACCAGTTGGCTTTGTATGTGAGGTAAAATATATGATGTGGAGTGACCAAAGCTGAAAGTTCTAAGATGGATGCAGGGGCATTGCTTTACTTCCAGCCCAACTGAAGAAGTGTGTCTCCCCTACCCAGATCAAATTCTGCAAGCAGGCTAGACGGTGTTGGATTGCTCAGATGTGTTACTGTTTCATGTTCTTTCAAAGTGTGTTAGACCCCATCGCCCACGATTACTCCCAGGTGCAAAATTGTATGCACAAACAGTTGCAGCAGCAATTTACTGACTGTGAGCTCAATCAGCCAATTGTGAGCACAATTAGCTGCTCTCTGCTCATTTGGAAGGAGCTGGGGCGATGATTGCCTTTGCAATTAGCCAGTTGTGGGCAGCTCAGTTTGCTTGTGCAATCTTGCACAGGCAGGCAATGTGCAAAAGTGATGCGTGCCCAGGAACCTTACACTTTTGACTCCAGATAGTCAACGTGATGTCTACCTACCACTCTCCACACATGGGTGGAGGCTGCAGTCTTGGGAAAAGAAAACACAGAATCACCAAATCATATTTTATATAATGCCACAGAACTGAAGAGACAAACCTTTACATCTTTTGGTCTTGCAGGGAGGGAGAGGAAAGCCTGATCTGGGTTGCCAAAGGATAACATGTGTCCGTGTTTGGGATGCGCTTGATAACAATGATTTGGGTACAAGAAATAGTCATATGAAAATGTATCCAGTTATGACTTGCTTTGGCAAGTCGAGAGAAACTAGGATCTGAATTGAATGGGGGAATCAAAATGCCACGTTAAGTCACTAGTGCAATCAACATTTTTTTCTTTCTTCTTCCTGTATCCTGATGAAAAAATTAACTAATCCTCCCACTGGAGTTGGGCAGTTTCCTACCCACCTGTCTCTGCAGAGGAAACTTGGAAACACAGAAATTTTAATTGCAGCTGTCCACAAAATGAGCTGATTTTGTTCTAGTTTTCCTTTAGTTATGAGTTGATTAGGAAAAGGAAAGATCACTGTATTTTAAGTGAGTTTTTGTTGTATGGATGGGCCTTTCTAGATAGAAGTAGGCTTGTAAAGGAACTCAAAAGGATAAATGAGTTGCTCTTTGGTACCAGAGCTCATTGAATTGTTAACCTAAATATTCTGTGAGCCTGCTGTCAAGTAAGGGGTACATGTTCACTATTTCTGACTATTCAGCCTATCAGAATGGTGCACTATAATTTTTTATAAACAAAATGTGAAAAGAACCCCAGAGTTCATCAACAAACAAAGTATGATAAACGTCCACTAGAATAGTACACAGGGATAAAAGGAACAAAATACAGAAAATGCTACAGCACCGATGAGCTCTGACAACTCTGACAAGAGGAAGAATGTGCAAAAGGCAACAAATTGTATAATTCCATCCATAGTAAGGCTCAGAGGATGGTCCATAGAGATAAAGAGTAATGATTGCTACAGTAGGGGAAAGATGAGACTCAGAGATGACTGCTAATGGCTTGAGAGTTCTTCTTGGAGTGATAGCAATATTCTGGAATTAAATGATTGCCTAACCTAGTGAATACGCTAAAATCATATTGAAAAGGTTAACATTTATGGTATGTGAATAATATCTCACTTTAAAATATGTAGAGAACTTGTCCTTTAAGATTGGGAGTAGATTGAGCCAACATGAGTCCACCTTGTGTTTACCTGTCACTGGATACCCAAGAAAACCCCTGAGACACCTCGACAGCAGAGAGAAAGTGTATTTCCAATGCAAGCCAAAGTCATTCATTCACTCACTCAGCAAGAGTCATTATTGAACGCCTGCGTGTAACAGACTATTTAGTAATCATTGAGAAAGAAGAATTTTAACTTGAGGGATGTCAGGGTATGTATGTGGGAGGAAGAGGTATAAGTAACGATATATGTCCCTCCTTATGTCAATATTTCCATTTTATTTCACATAACACATCTCTCTGAACCATAATAGAAGGCAAAAAGTTACAAGGGGGTTTTCCTGAGCTACAACATCTTAGTTGAGACTAAGGCAACACAGCTAAGAGTTCAGTTTGGTTGTTAACCTCTCTTCCTTTGAGTATACTGAACTTCCATTCCTCAACTGGATGTTTGACATAATGTAGATTTTAAGCCCAGCAGGCACACAGACAAGAGGTGGATCAGCTCATTATATAGACAGCTTCTGTGTCTGAATATTAACACCTACTTCCTGCCCAAAGGGCAGTCTAAGAGGTTACATGGTCAAAAACCGAGTCAAAACACACATGGGGTTACTCATGGCTGACAGTCAGTTCACCCAGTTCTCCTTCAACCCCATCATTTTTGAGACATATTTTTATTGCCTATAGTATACACACTTTTATTAAACAGAGCTGATTATAAAAAGATCAAGAATTGGCATTGTCTGATCTTCCACTCAGAGTAAGAAATTGAAAGGATGTATTTACTGCTGCTGATAAGACAGGACTTACTTTCCCACGGGGTTAGACAGAATAAGCTACAGCTAGAAATGTTCCCAGAATGTTCCCTTCTGGGAAAGAGAGGCATATTTACTGAATGTGCTATAGAAAGTGATACCTTGTTTATGCTTGGATCTGGTGTCTGCTTCCATCACTCGACCCATCTATACCTGATTATCTTTCCAAAAATATTTTATTATTTTTATTTTATGTGTATGAGTGTATTGTCTACATGTATGTAAGTGTACCCATGCTATGCAATGCTCACAGAAGTCAGAGGAGGGTGTCAGAGTCCCCTAGAACTAGAGTTACAGATGGGTGTTAGCTACCACGTGGGTGCTGGGAATCGAACCCTGGTGCTCTGTAAGAGCAGCCAGTGCCCTTAATCACTGAGCCATCTCTCAAGCCCTCTATAGCTGATGTTTCTTACAGAAACACAGGAGTCCTTGTGAATGTGTCATAGTCAGACTCTCTGATCCCATTATGTTCAGCTCCTAAATTTCTTTCAAATGCATTTCCAAGCCATGACCATCACAGGTTATCTCAGAGACCTCACATGTGGCATGATCATCCATGCTCACCTTCTATCACAGCTGATGCAATCACAACAACTAGACTTATTCTAGTTGGTCTCTTGGTTAAGAATCTTTAGTTGATGTTCTTAGAATAAAAACTAGAATCCATCATTGGGATTTTCATTTTGAGTATCACTGGGGTCAGAAATGTCAATCATGCTATTTCTCTTTCCCATTTCACCACTTCTAACCCAAACTAATCTTATATTATTACAGTGGGATGCACGTACACATGTGAGGGATTCTATGGTTAATGTGACAAACAAGAATATCATACACAGAGGGCCATATGACCAGGTATCTCCAATGAAGCATGAGCACAGGCGAGATAAGATCTTGCCACACCCTGGAATCACAGAGCAAATTTTAAATCAGATTGGTGTATATGAGCCTCAGCCCTAGAAATTCCCATTTAATTCATCTGGAGCATAGTGCTATCTTAACACTTGAAAAATCCCACTGATGAGGGACCAGGTAGATGGCTCAGTAGGTAAAGAGCTTGCTTTGCAAGAATGAGATCTGTATTTGGATCCTCAAAGCCCACATACGTGCAAACATGGTCACATGTGTCTGTAACTCTAGCAGTCCTATAGGAAAAGAGGAGGCAGAGACAGAGGAGTCCCCAGAAGCCCCAGGCCAGCTAGCCTGCTGTGTGCAGTGGTGAACAGCAGGAGACTCTGACTTGAAGAAGGTAGAATTCAAGGACCAACATTCAAGACTGTCCTATGACCTCAACATACAAGTCATGGCACATACGTACCCACACTCCTATATATGAACACACACACACACACACACACACACACACACACACACACTCAAGCTAACAGTATAAAACCTCCTCTCTCAGTCTTTTGAATATTCCATACTCACATACCTTCCTGTCATGACTTCACAGGCCAATAAATCCAGATATTGGAAGGTGTCAGCATGGGATCTGAATGAGTCACAGATCTATATTGGATATGTCACCTGAATAAGGAGTGCATCTTTATTAGCTTTAAAACCCATCTGTTATCACAGCATCACCTTACCTACTCTGACTAATGCTGTGAAAATGACATTCGGCATGCCTTCAGGAACTGCCCTCAGCGGCATGACCAACACAGCCCATTTTTCCTCCAGCATCATTGCACAGTACCTTTCCTCAAAAAAGAAAGAAAGAGACTTCGTGGCTTGCATCTCAAAGGTATGGTGCATAAAAATATGATTTATAAGTACTAAAATCACAATGATATTCTCGTGGCATAAGAAACAAGTAGTAATTGCTGCAAGAGATGTGGGTTCCTCTTACCCATCTCACAGGCACTACACAGTTTGCTCTCCACATGAGGTATGAACTCAGGATGTCTGTAGATCTTTGAAAATAGGCCCAGACGGTTCCAGATTGAGCAATGTGGTCTCCATATTGCAGCTTCTTCCCTGTGTCCTGATTCGTAGACATAAAAATTATTCAAACCATCCATCCAGTGTTTCTGAATCTTCATGTGACTGCCTTCCGCTTTGGTGGGCTGCTTTGTCTTCCAGCCTCTCAAAGAATTACATAGTATTCTTGATTTATCTTTCATATTTCTCCTCATGTTTCTTATTCAGTTAAATGTTGAACAAACACAAAATATAGAAAGGATGGAGGAATCTGAGACTATTTTTTTTTAACTTTTAAAAACTTTATTGAGAATTTCACACATGCATATAAGGTGTTTTGATCAAATCCATGCCCACACCCTCCTATCTAACATCCCGCCCTCTGAAGAAGTAACCCTAAAATCTTTTAAGGATTAGATACAAGCTCCCAAATACTTTTGACATTTTTGGCCTTTGGAACAGAGTATGTTGCTAATAGGCCCAAGGACATTTTGACTTTTAGCCAAAACCTGGCTATATTCCTTTGGGGTCTTTTTACCCTAACTGCCTAGCCAATTCCTATCTCCTATTCTTATCACGCCATCCTCTGAAGGGGTTACCCAAATTGCCAATAGGGAACAGGAACGCAGACTTCTCTGGCTTCTTCCATGCTGAACAGGGGCGCAGGGTGGGTCTTCAGACCCCCTTCAGTGGGTCTATCTAAAAGACTCCCAAAGCGTAATTCTTGTCTCTAAGAAGAAAAGAAAGTCCTTGAATCATGAATAGGAGATGTGAAGGAGAAGCAAAGGCAAAAGTAATTAGCATTACAAGTTCTAGACAGGGAACTAGAAAAAAAGTCAGAACAGGGCAATTTTCAAACATTCATATGAGAGCCCATTGGAGTTTCTAGACAAGGGCTTCCAAAAACATCCCTCTACTGGGTTCTTCCTCATTTTTCTTTTGTTTTCCAAGGCTGGATTAGTTGGCTGGGAAGAGTGGCTGGATACTCAGGTGAGGGTCCGGTGACCCTGCTTGGCTCTCAATGAATGACCACAACCGCCAACAAGCCCAATTGTGACCATGTTTAGCGATCAGGCTCAGCTGAAGTCATGAGGATGGTAGTTATTTCATGCAGAAGGGACTGCTGTATAGCATCATCTTATTAAAAGGACCTGGAATTTTAAAGGATTTGGTGCTAGGAGCCACATATGAGGGAGAACATACATCATTTGTTTTTCTGAGTCTGTGTTACTTCATTTAGTAAAACAGTTTCTAGATCCATCCATTTACCTGCAAATTTCATTACTTCATCTTTCTTTATTGCTGAATAGAACGCCACTGTGTAACTATAACACATTTTTGTTAACCACTCGTCAGTTGAGGGACACTTAGGTTGCTTCCCTCTCTTAGCTACTATGAAAAGAGCAGCAACAAACATGGTTGTACAAGTGTCTCTACAATAGGATGAGTCCTTTGGGTATATGCCAAGAGG